GATGTATGGATGGTGGCGATCCCTCTGATATGTTATGTTATTGTCGAGTGGCATCCTATTGATCGCGTGCTCCACCAATTTGGTATCGTACAATCTATTCCAGTAATCTCGACAATATGCATAACGTCGATAGACGATGCAAAAAATATATCAACTAGTTGATGAAGCACAACGAGTGGGTAATGATCTGAGAGGATCGACGTGGACACATTCCCCGTACGGAGCCAATTTATGTTAATCGTTATTCGGTTGCGGGTGACTATTATCAATGGTTCAACACAAACGGGAAGTCGTTCCTACTTTTTGAGGAATCACGAGGAGAGAGCATTCATCGGCGTCGAGAAAAACATCCACCGTCACAAGATCATCTCCCCCTGACTCGTGGACGGAAAGCAAGTGTTTCTGGATCGTCCTCAGTTGCAGCACCAAAACCATCACAGCAGCCACCATCTACACCGAATTATATTTCATAGTCGTTTCAGATGCCACCATCGCAGGGTTTTATGACACCTCCTGGCGGATATACTCTCATGCTTATAGATTCAGCTTAGTCTTCATATGTTGCTTATTTGGCGGGTGATACTTCACCATAGACACAAACACCTTCGGCTCAGTTTTCGCATTCATTGATGTCGATGTTTTAGTTTTCACAGTTTTCTATGAGCGGTGGGATGATTAGTCATACACCTCCAGAGTCCTTATTCTATGGAAGTGCTACATCGTCATTTGTCCCTCATCAACAAAATGTAGTTGCTACTGCTGCTGATGATGATGAGAGTGAGGAGGAAGAGCAACTTATACGAAGAAATCCTCATCGAAATAGACAGCTACCGCCATGTGGAACACATTCAAGACGCAAACGTCGATAGACTTGTTTTTATTTATTTTGTTTTTAATGTTTTTATTTAATTATGAATTTTTTTATTTATTTTATTTTTTAATATTTTTATTTAATTATGAACTTTTTATTTATTTTATTTCTTAATGTTTTTATTATTTAATTATTTGAATTGTAACGTTTGTATTTAATGTTTCTATTTAATTGTTTTTATTATTTAGTTTGTAATGTTTTTATTTAATTTTCACTTGAATATCACATTAATTAAAAGTAAACGAAAATGAAAAACACAAACGGAGGCTTCATAAACAATAATTACATCGTCATATCATCAACGGTTATGTGATGATAAAAGAGATAAACATTTTTTCTTATTGTGACATAGGTTTCTACAATACCTACATCTTTTGTTTTCTTTGGACATCTCTTAAATATCAATATCACAATAATTCGAGTGGATTTTGGACGATCTGTCTCCCTTAATAAGGACGGATCTAGTATAATCGGAAGTCAATTCTGAACCTCATCTTGGTATTTCTCATTACCAATGGGGAAAACTCAAATTCATATACCTTAAATACTTCTAAAAGTCGGTATATGAGATCTACAAAATGATTATAGTCTTGACGAGTAAAACATTAAGCTTGTAACACCCCGAATCCCGGAGCTGGTTCAGTTTTCATGGGGATTCTTCCAAATGGGAAGATTGTTGCAGTAAAGAGATTGATATACAATACCAGACAATGGGTTGATGAGTTTTTTAATGAAGTAAACCTGATCAGCAGGATTCAACACACGAATCTACTGAAACTTCTGGGTTGTAGCATTGAAGGTCCTGAGGGTCTCCTGGTTTATGAGTAAGTACCGAACAAGAGCCTCGATCAGTTCATTTTTGGTAATTGTTTGCTCTTTGAATGATTCAAACTTGCATTTTCCTGACACAATCAGTTAGATTCCTCTTGACATAAGCTAGCCCCAATCCTTTACTAAAACACTGTAGGTCGTTTGTTCTTACTATGTTACTCGGACTCTTCATTTTGCTTGAAGTATCCAAGTCATATTCGTTCATCGGTACGGGGATATTACAATCCGGAGTAACATTGCATTCTTGTAACTATTTTTAACTTGATGATTTTACTTTCATATGCAGACTAGGAGAAGGCAAAACATTTAAAGTGGAAGCATAGGTTTGAAATCATTGTTGGTACAGCAGAGGGTTTAGCACATCTCCATGGAGGAGGGTCCGAAACAAGGATAATCCATAGGGACATCAAAAGCAGCAATGTTCTTTTAGATGAGAATCTCAATCCAAAGATTGCCGATTTCGGACTCATATGATGTTTAGCTCCCGATAGAAGTCATCTCAGCACCGGGGTGTCGGAGCACTGTAAGTGTTCATACTCAAAAGTAGGTGTTCGATACGAATATGTGTTTGATCATACTTAATCTTATGCAGCGGATATATGGCTCCCGAGTATCTTGTTCGAGTACAACTCACAGAGAAAGCAGATGTTTACAGTTTTGGTATTCTAGTTCTTGAGATTGTATGTGGTAAAAGGAATACCACCTTCTCAAAAGACTCTGCTTCACTTGTACAAACAGTAAGCTCCCAAATCTTTGTTAATGGCCGCCATATTTACTACTTCAACCCTTGAAGAAATGAAATGAGAGCTCCAATGTGTGTGTGTTTTTTTGTCTACCTCAGTTTTGGACACTTTACAGATCGAACAGATTAGGTGAAGCTGTTGACTGTTGCATAAGAGATGAAATATCAGCAGAAGAGGCCCCAAATTATGTGCTTCAAGTAGGGTTATTATGCACACAGGCTGCGGTTTCCTTGAGGCCATCAATGGCAGAAGTAGTGCTGCTGACTGATAAAGATTGTGAAATCCCAGTAGGCCAGTACCAAGCCAGCCTCCTTTCTTAAACGCTAATGTCAAAGAATCAGAAAGCTCAACGAAGTCTTATTATAGTTCAGATGGTTTCATGTCAAATGAAGTGAGGAAAATTCAAGGTTCAGCTACCTTCTCTGAGTCTTCAAGGACTGGTAGTTCAGATGATGCATCAAAAACTCCATCGTAATTTGCAGAAATGGAGTTAAAAACCAGGTTTTGAGGGATTCTTTTCTTCTTTGCATGAAAAATATAACATTAAAATAAATAAATCTGTATAAATTAAATGTTTCATAATTTATACTCCCCATAATTTTCTTAATCCTTAAAGGCAGCTATCAAGTAGGTCGGACACTCGGTATTTGACTTTGGTATAACTATGGATGTTCGATCTATTGATCGACTAATTCGGATAAAATACTGCAGAGACAAAGATAACCTTCCAATCCAGTTTACTTCATTCACAATCACTAGGATTCGAACCTCTAACATTGCTTGAAAGATGTAATGGTTCCAAAAGTTAAAAAAGAGTAAGTTGGGTAGATGCTCGGGACCCATTTGCTTACAGAATTTCATTTCAAAATTTTCATTTCATTTTATTTATTTATTTTGAAATCTCATTTTAATGCCAGAGCCCTAGCTTCTATCTTAGATAGTAGCCAAATGTAACAATAGCATAATTTATATTTTAAAAATATATAAAACTTTATGTATATATTAATAATTAAATTTTAGGTGAATCTAGTGTTATAAATTCATAGATCACCAATTCGGTTAAAATTTATTAAATTAGTTTTATTTTAAATTATAATTAATACTATTACAATATTTTTATTTTTTATATTCTTATATATTCTTTAAATAAATAATTAAAAACACGTTTCTATATTAAAATCATGTTTAATAAAATTTCTGTATTAATTTTTACCGCTGCACCAATAATAATTTTACAAAAAAATGATATTTTACATATTTTTTTATTTCACTAATATTATGTTTAATAAAAATAATATTATATATAAAAATATACATATATTTAATTTGTTACTATATTATCGAATAATATTTTAAACGATAATTTATTATTTTATAAATTTATTTATTTATTTAGTATTACAATTTCTCCGATTCCAACAACCAGTTCGTCTTATTTTCAGTTGACGTCAAAGATTTGGATATTTGATGCTTATTATACAAGCATTTTTCAAAGCAAATAAATCGGGTAGTTTTGTTGTACGATAACCTTAATGTACGGTTAAGAAAAAGATACTACTGGAAATGTTAATATTCTTTTAACATTTTCGATAAAGCGCTACTTAAAACATTATTTTTTTCACCGTAAATGTTAATTTCTTTACTTAATTTCCGATAGAAAAAATAACATATTAGGTAGCGCCTAATATTAAAATTTCCCGTAAAAAATAAAGTTTTAAGTAATGTTTTACCGAAAATATTAAAAATATATTAACATTTCCAGTAACGTCTATCCTTAATATTAAAATTACCTTACCTTAGACATCATTAAAACGGATGGTAGTTAAAATTAAATAATTGATGTTACAGATGATTTAATATGGCGGCATTTTTGTCCACGTCACGCCATCCACGTAGTACATCATAAACGTGTCACCTCAATATTTACTTTATGCCAATTTATAATTTATAGCTGGTTTATTTCTTGACCTGCAAGGAACTAGAATTAGAAAAACAAGGATAAAGAACTCACCATCTAGGCCAAATGTCAAATTTATAATTTATGCTTCATCATCTGTTTGCTTCAACTTTCGGCCCACCCTACCTTTCAAGTTATAGAAGTCTATGTACTTGGTGACATTCGCATAGTTCTATATTAGGAGAATAAATTTTTAAAATTTGAAGTATGACGAATTTATAAAGTTTTGAAAAATGAGAACATATTATTAATAAAAAAATATTTAAAATGTATTATAATCATGTGACCATGTATGTGTTGAAGATGAAGTTATGGTCTTAATTTAACGTGTATACAGCCCTCCGCCTACTTCGTCGGAGCCATGGACCTTTCAACCTTGATTTCTATAATAGAAACCTGAATGCTCTTGCCTTTATAAATAAATTCCAATGACATCGTTGCCGAGGCAAACCTGAGCTTAGACATTTTGGGGTAACAAGTATTCGGTTGTGAGAATCGAAACCAAGGAATAATGCTCCGATCTTGTACTAACAACTGCAAACCCTTCTTTGTTTCTGGTATTAACAGCTGCAGCCACTATATATTATGCTGATCGGATAATGCCGATGCGTGTTTTATTGACAAACCAACTGCAGCAGCCGCTCTTTAAAGTGCCATCATTTCAGATTGCAAGAGCTCCAAGATATCGTAAATCTCAGCTGATTTCGAGTGTGTTCCATCTTCCGAATAAAAAGAGTATGCATGGTTTCTCACCTCAACCCAACTGCAGCCGCCACTCTTTTTCAATCCCTTCTCCCTCATTAATTTCCTAACGTTGGAAACATCGACCCATCTCCCAGCTGAAGCATATATGTTTGACAACAAAACAAATCCAGCTGAGTTTCTCTCTGCTAGTTCACCGAGTTTTCTAGCTGTTCTCTCTGCGATCTCCTCGTTTTTATATGTCTTGCAACCACTTAACAGAGCTGCAAGTGCATTAGCTTCAGGTTGGAACGGCATGGAATTAATTAACTCTTCAGCTTCGTATAAGCGTCCAGATCGAGACAGCATATCCACTACGCAAGTATAATGTCTTCCCTTTGGCCTTACACCATAGACTGACTCCATTTCACCAAAGAACTCGAGCCCTTTATCAACCAACCCACAATGAGAACATGCAAATAGAACGGCTAAAAGCATGAGCTCATTAGGAGCAACAGAGGAACTTCTTTCCATTTCTCCAAACAAGGAAAGAGATTCTTTTGCAAGACCACTTTCTGCAAGTCCTTGAATCATAACAGTCCACGAAAACTCATTTCTCTCTGGCATTCTATCAAAAACCTGCTTAGAGCTTTCAATATCGCCAGATTTTGCATACATATCAGTTAAGGCAGTGCCCAAGTAAACATCATAATGGAACCCTTGTTTTAAGATCTTTCCATGGATATCCCTGCCTTTCTCCAATGAAGCCACACTTGCACAAGCAGAAAGCACACTCGAGAAGGTCTGCTTCGTTGGAGATTCCCCAGACAAGAGCATCACATTGAATACTTCAAACACCTTATCATACTGCTTATGTTCTACATAGCCACCGATTATAGCACCCCAAGAAACATTATTTCGAGTAGGCATGTTATCAAACAAATACTTAGCTTCATCCATTTGTCCATTCATACAATAGCCACCAAGCATAGAATTCCATGAAACCACATTCTTGTTTTCAATGGAATTAAAAACCAATCGTCCATTTTCGGTATCTCTACATTTACAGTACAAGTCAACAAGAGAACTACTGATAAAAACATCTCCCTGAATCCCGATTTTCTTAATGTGAGCATGTATGTTCCTCCCTGCTCGTAAATTCTCAAGGCTAGCCAATGTACTAAGAATGCGAGAAAAACAAGAGATAGTTGGCTTAAACCCTTCTTGAACCATTCGTCGAAAGAGTTTCGAGGCCTCTAGATGATCACCACTCTGACTATACCTAGCAATAATTGCACTCCAAGAAATTTCATTTCTTTCTGGCATCTCATCAAAAATCCTCCTTGCCTCTCCCAAGTTCCCCATCTCCACATATATATCCAGTATCGCTGTCCAAGAAACGACATCTCTTGTATCCATTCGATTGAACACCCTCCTGGCCATATCAAACTCACGCATCCTTAAACAAAATGTTATCAACGAGTTGCAAACTGAAACATTAGCTTCAAACCCGGTTTTCACTATAAGTCCTAAAACACTCATTCCCAACTCGAAGTCCCCAGTTTCTATACACGCGCTAATCACAGCCGTAAAAGTAACTTGATTAGGCTTAACCCCGGATTCAAGCAACCTAATAAAAAGCTTCAAACCATGAAAGCTAAGCCCGTGTTTCAACAACCCACTAATCCCCGCGGTCCATGAAACCACATTCTTGAATGGATTCATTTCAAAATACCACATTGATTCTTGCACTCTCCCGTACTTCATTAAACCTGAAATCAACATAGTCCATGTAACCTCGTTTCTTTCAGGCATTTCTTCGAATAGCTTCCGAGCTTCAGACAGACTTCCCCACTGAATATTAGCATTAATCAAACAATTCTGGACAACTAAATTAAACCCATTAAACTCCTTTACAATCTGATTAGCTTCAGCTAATTGTCTAAAATCAAGGTACATTATTAACAGTTTGATAGCTACAAATTTCTCAGAAAAAATACCCTGCTTCAGTAAATGGCAATGAAGGGCAGTTCCTTCGGTGACCAAGCCTTTATCTGAGAAATTCTTTAATAAAGAACCACATCTTTTACAATAAGAATTGAAGTTTAGGGTTGGGTTGGTCGAGAAAAGGGCTTTCAATGCAGTTTTCATGCTATGAGAACGGAAGGAGAAAGAGATCGGAAAGCAAATGCGTTCGTTGAAATTAGGTTTTTTATTTATAAGGGGAGATTGGTTAAATCTGGCGGGATCCGATCATACGAAACCAAATGAGTCGACGTTTGAAGGCATGCTATGCTATAAAAAAGAGTCAGTAGCGAACTTATAAATCTTACAGAGAGATTATAAAATTGTAAGGAGTGAAAATAAATTTTTAATAAATACAAATAAAATATTTAAAATATATAAAAATTTAAAATTTTAACGGGAATTCTTTAGTTCGTTTCTGTTTAAGTCCATCCTTAATTATAATCATAAAATTATGAGATTAAGATTCGTTTGAATAGTTATTTTATTTTTTAAATCATTTTAATCGTAACATTTAATTTTGATTAAAATGGTTTAATATCATATATATAAATTTTAAATGGATAAGTTTACATATATTAAAATATTAATGAGACATATCTACGTATAAATAACTGATGATGTATATTATAATATGTTAAAAAAATATTTAGAAAATAAATTGTAATTATTTTTATTAAGGATAAATTACACTGGTGCTCAATGAACTTTTAAGGTGCTTTTAGTTTGATTACCAAACTTTTAGAACTTGTATTATAATCACGAAATTTTTAATTTACTTTTATTATTGTTATTGTAACGACAATATTAATGTAACATGTTAAAGTAGTTTTCAATCAATCTAGGCAGAAAAAGGATTTGTTTGGCTATAAGATTAATATAGTTTGGTTTTAATATTATCCGATCGTTGACAATGGCAAATACAATAATTTTAACTTTTAGTTTCAATCAGGATATATTTGAGATTGGAGGAGATTGAAAAGTTCGACGAATTTGAACCGAAGAAAATAAAAAGAAGAAATAGAAAAGTAACAATGTGAATGATCTATTTGATCAAAAGATTAATATAATTTGACTTCAAGCTAAATTGACAGTTGATAGTAATAGATAAAAAAATTTAACTTCTAGTTTTAATTAGAATTTAATTGAGATTTGAGGAGATTGAAATGTATTTGAGGAGATTGAAATGTTTTCCGACGAGTTTGAATGAGAAGAAATAAAGAAAAGGAAGGATAGTTTTATTAACTTTTTGACCGGATAAACCACTGAATGTCAAAATAAATGATGACAAAATGAGACGGTGGTCTAACAAAAACTAAAATTTAAAACTTTTCTGATGTGACCGTTGAATTATGTTAATCTTTTGACTAAACGAAACCTACTGTCCGAAGATCCTCCATTTATTGAAAATTCAAGTTTTGAAGCGATTGCAAAGGTAGTAAATTAAGTTTTTTTTAGGGGAAGAAGACTCCATGTCAGCATTTTCTAACCGCCATTAACAAAAGTGATAATAACGAAAACGAATTAAAAATGTATTAATTGTAATGCAAGTTTTAAAAGTTCGATAATTGGATTCTTATCTGTGTAGTTTATCCTTGATTGAAAGAATAGAAAATATTAAAGCTTATTTCAAAAGTGAAACTCAAATATGTAAATCATGTTTTGTCTAATACATGGAGGAAGTATTGGCATAAGTAATGGACAAAACATCCTGAAAGACAAGGGAAAACTAGTACATATGCAGCAATTGCATGAACTGTTGGGTTATTTCATATGCAACGATCTAAACTTTCATAAAATAGGAACCCTCGGATCCCTATATTCAATCCCCAAAAACTTAAGTTCTAATTACATCCATGAGTCCATAGAGCTTGCATTTTCTTGTTCCGGCACAAGCCGCACACTCATCAGCATCTACGGCTACATGGCTCAAGCAGTGTTTGATCCTATCATTCATGACATCCTGCAATATACGAAAACAAAAGTGAAGACATCCGACAGTTGGGTAAAACCAACTTACAAGAAAGAGAAACCATCTACAAGACAACATTGTTATTAAGACATGCAGAGGAAGTTCAATCCACTTATTGGTGTTTGAGCAATAACGAAAGCAACTTTCATAATAATCATGTACTTGACAACACTGAAACGACTCCTCTGTTTCAAATTTCGATTATGTAAGCTAATTAGAAACCACCGATCATGGAAAATCTAGCACGAGAAAAATACACAAAATTCATTCGAAAAATGATGGTGATCGTAGAGTAAAACAAGATAGCTCATACTGAAAAGCAGCTTCAGCATGTCATGTCATGGGGTGTTATTATATTTGATGCATGTTTGAGCAATAATAAAGAAAGTTGCATAACAATCATGCAGTTAACAAAGCCTCACTGGCTTCTTTGTTTTGAAACCATATTAGTCAAGCTAGCTATCAAAACAAGGACCATTTGGAAACATAGCACGAAAAAACGACACAAAACTCATACGAATTCAATGGTGACCAATGATGGAAACAAGAGAGTTCAGACCACAAGCAGCTTGGGCAGCCAATAGGGCAGTTATTGCTCACGATACATGCTTGCACGATAACAAGGAAAGTTTCGCAACAATCATGTACTTGATGACGACTTACAGGCTCCTTTGTTCATCAATCAATAATCACTCAAGGAGGCAAGGTACATATCAAATTGAGGACCGTTTCAAAAAGCAGCAGGAGAAAACTACACAAAACGCATACAAAATCAGCGGTGACCAACAACGAAAACAAGAGAGCTCCTCACACAGCTCATGCAATCCAAGCAGTGTGATTATTAGATACGATACACGCTTGAGCAATAAAAAAGGAAGTTTCACAACAACCATGTACTGATGATGACTTAGAGGCTCCTTTGTTTCAAAACCATATTACTCGAGCTAAATATCAAATTGTGGACCACTTGAAAACTTAGCAGGAGAAAACCACACAAAACTCATATGACATCAACGGAGAACAATGAGGAGAATAAAAGAGTTCATACCACAAGCAGCTCGTGCAGGCTGAGTGGTGCAGTTATCATATACCATCAGCGGTTAACGATGGGATATCCTTAGAAATAACATAGTTGCATTCAACAAAAACAGAATAACCCAAAACTTCTGTAAACACATTAGCTTTTTTTTTTCAAGTCATTACATGCAAATAAAATGAGCTACCTGGTACCAGTGCCTTCCAGGGAAAAGAAAGAATGGGCTAACGATCACGCGATGTGCCCCTCGTTGAACACACAAACCGAATGCATCTCTTATTGATGGCTCAGCCAATTCCTAGTTGAATTAACTAAAAACGTAAGAATTCAGTGCCCCAAAATATGATACTATTGTGTCTCTAAAACCAGTGAAGACATTGACATTTACCTTAAAAAAACAAAATGCAATGAACCAAAAAGAACAGACAACTTCAAAGTTAAAACCTTTGTCATCAAATTGCTTTGCTAAAAAAAATCGTTTTTTTTTAAATGAAGCAACTCAATTTAAACAGAAGCAAAAGAATTGAACAATAAGAAGGGGAAAGAACAACCATATGAGCTGCTTCAACAATTGGGTACCCGGTTTTCTCTCTAAAAATGGCTACAAATTCATCTGAAAGTCGTTAAAACAAAGTATAATTAGCTTCGAAAAGAAGTATATTTTTTTAAAACAACTAAACAGTCTTAGCAACAACAACAAAAAAAAACAGTTTGTTTAAAACTTACTTAGCATGAGATTAGATTCTTTACGGCGCGAACAATGGTCCACGATGATAACTCCATCTTTTTCACAAACCCCATCCGAGAACTGTTTGAATCCACCATTTTCGACGCTCAAACTTGACTTTGCTGAGAATTTTCTGATTCTTGAAGGGACCCTTTGAAATTTTGGGGATTTGTTGGATGCCCATGTAGATTTCCTTGCAGTCTCGTGAACTGAAGAACTGTAATTTAAAGGACTTAATTGAAAAACCGATTGGGCATATAATTCTCGACGAAATGAGAATTCAAAATTACATATATCTTTTTACCTTTGGAGAGTTGGAGTTTGAGGGATAAATAGTGATTCTATCGACATTGTTGGAGCCAAACTCTCGACACTGAGAGGACACTTCCAGGAGCTAACGACGTCGCATCGCATGAATACTTTAGGCGAATGAAAACTTGGGCCCAACTCTTGCATGGGCCTAAGATTGTGAAAGGCTCTTTTCTTTTCTTTTCTTTTAGAGTAAATTATTGGATTGGTTATTGGGTAAACTACGTATTTAGTACATAAACTATTAATTTTAATATCTAAACTTTTAATTTTTTTTAAATCATACATAATATTCCATTTTTTTCCATTTTAATACCCACCGTTTAAAACTTATTGTGTTTAGTACCTAAACTATCAATTTTAGTCCATTTTAGCACCTAAGCTTTCAAAAAAAAATTCAAAACCTAAAATTAAATTTTGAACCTGTAATAAAATGAAACAAAAACTAACTTTAGGTACGATTTTAAAAAAATTAAAAGTTTAGATACTTAAATTAACCAAAACTAATAGTTTAAATACTAAACGCGTAATTTACCCTTGATTATTTTTCTTTTATATTAATGTTTTGTCTACATTTAAAAATATTGTATTTTATTCATTTATACTGTCAAATTATTAAATTTTATTCAATTATATTATCGATTATTACATGTTAGTAATTCAACACTCAACATAAATACTCAATTAGAAAAGAGTTGTATTAACTATAAAAGACAGATCAATACCTATTAATCAAATAAGTATCCCCCATTAAATCACAAGTATTCAAACAACCACTAAATCAGTAAATAATCAATAATCAGATATCTTAATTATTCAAATAAATTTATATTTAATATTTACCTTCAACAAAATTGAAATTTATTAACCATATTCTTCATGAAACGTCGTATTAATCAACCTCAGTAAATAATCAACAATTAGCATTTTATTCAGTCGTTTTAGAGTGTTCTTTAACATTATTTTAATTTTATTTTTAATGGAAGAGTTATGGTTGGAATTGTTTTACATTTATTTGGAAGTTCTTTTATAGCTATTGGGTATTGACCGGTCCTTTTCCAACTTGCAAAGCTACATTTGTGGCATGCGAGTGTCAATAATGGTTTAGTTGAACGCTGAAGGGCTTACTAAATAACTTGTTTATTTGGTAAATAAATCAATATAGTTTCAGAAAATGCTAACAAGT